CAAAGGGAAGTAACCGTGAGCCAGAAAATCCAGACTGCAATTCATCCGTGGTAACTGCTTGGACCGCTGCAGCACTCCAAGACAGCCCCCTCGCACACTGGGTGGTTTTAGTTCAGCTGCCCCTCAGCCTGAATCAAGGGGCACAGGGCAGCAGCAGGCAGGCAGCCTTTTCCAGAGGCATCCCGTTAAGAGGTTCAACCTCCTAACCACTTTTTGGAGTGAAAATCTCTTTCAAGAAGGAAGTAAGGGCAGCAAAATCTGCAGAAGCTCAATCTCAGAGCATTACATACCATGTAAAACTATGTTAGCGAGCCTGAGCGGAGGCAAGAACAGAGAAGCTACAGCAGCAGCGCCGACAAGTTCTGCTAACTGGTGGCAGCGAGATGCCAGGCACGCTACCGGGCAGCACCATCTCCCCTCCCGTTTGTTATTGTGCTCAGCATCTTTCACACCACACGCTTGGCTTTAAGCTCCAGCCCAAGTCATGCCTGGCTCCTAAGCCAGCTCGCTTCCATAATAAACACACAGCGCTTCAACTACCGTCAGCAGCGATCCGCGCTCACCTCTTCTTTGTGAGGTATTACCACAATCCCTAGATTACAGCTAGGATAAATAGGTCCAAAAAAGGCCAAATGACTTACACAAAGGTTCTGCAACTCAACACAAGGAGATTTCCTCGTTCCTGACCAGGGTACCTACCCCCAGCAGCCACACCATGCCTCCATCCTGAAATGTTTGCACAGTTGTCTAAAGGTTCAGCAGTGCTGGTAACCCATGCAAATTATTTCACTGCCTCCCAAGACAACTTGCTACTTAGAGCTTGCTGGCTACCCGTTACTCTACTTTTAGTAAATAACTGCATTTTCTTTCAGTTAAATCCAGCCTTTGTAAGACAAGAGTGTTTCCACTGCTTTCTAATGCTGGTTGAGGACACAGGGACACAGTTCTTTTTTCTCCTCTCTTGTTGAGAGCCCACTTAGAACTACACATCTCTGTCCAAAGACAAAAAAATAACCCTGTATCTTTTTCAACTAGTAAATTTCAGTAAATTTAACTCCTTTTTCAACTAGATGAAAAATAAGTAATACGTATGGTTAAAAAAAAGAAGTTTAAATGCCCTCTTTAGGCCTGAAAATCTAACACTTCTGCCACATAAATACAACGCGACCATGTATTCTGTAAGACACGTGTCTTAGTGTTGTCTAAATTAGAAGCTCATTCACGAGAGTGGTTTAAACAAAAGAGATAGGGCCACATTAATCTCAAGATAACAGCCTAACAACTTCACTGTTTACTACTATAAGCCAAGTTCCAGCAATACCAGAAGCACCCAGCGCTCTGCAAACACACGGGAAGATAGGGCACCTGCACCAAAGGGCTCGCTGTCTAACAAATGCATTTTCCAAGGAACAGAGCCTGTGCTGGTGGAAACCCACTTCACATGGGCACACGAAGAGCTGGGGCAATAGAGGCAGACAGAAACCTGCACAGCGGGGCTGCTGCACCCTTCACTTGTGGATTACCTTATGGTAATCCTTATGGCTGGCCCCACCATCAGTTCAGAAGCACGTTCTGCCTCTCTCCTCGTCTCTGGTACTGAAAAATCTCAGCACACAGGTCTCAGAAAACCCTGTCCTATGAAGTGTTGCATGCAAGGTGTTTCAGTCTTCAGCGGCTGCATTTCCACAGAAGAGCTGTGGATGGCAACAAATTGCTCCTATTATGCAAATGAAACTGCACACTTGAAATTGCCTATGTGGCTCCTCTGAAGATGCAGGAGTTGCTAGTGTATAAAGTTAAATTTCAGAAGTCTTCTCAAAACATTTAAACCACAAAACACAGAATCTCTCTTGCTAATTTTCCACTGTACTTGACTGCAGGTGGTGGTGGGTAATCATGAGATTCACCATCAAATTATGATTCCTTTAAAAGTAGGAAAAATGGTTTATGTAAATACTTGTGAGAGGCATGCACAAGAAGCCACGGGGTACTTCTGACAGCGATCAGAAGAAACGTTGCAGGATTCTGTACAGTAACCCTTTAAAGCAAGCTGTCTTTCATGAGGGTTAAAGTGTACAAAATCTATTTATACCGCAAGATTTGTTTTAAGGAGGAAGCCATAGCAACTGACATTTTGGCAAACAGCTCTTGCCAAGGGAAAAAAAAAAAAGTCTAGATGTTTTGTTGAATGGCCAAGCTTCTGCCTCTCCTCCTCCCTGAAATCCACAAACTAGGACTCAATGGAAGCACGCTGCGCTCATGAATGAAATACCTACAGACAAAACACTACAGTCCCACACATCCAGCAGGAAGACTCTCTGATCAAAAGTAGCGTCACATCACCGCACATCGTTCCGATCCTTCGGAGCTGGCCCACTAGGCAGCAAACAGCACTTCAAAACGCCAGCTGAGCAGAAAAGAGTTCCTAAAAGGAACCTAACTGTGATGCCCGGGCTGCTCCGGCTCCTTCCTCAGCGGGCAGATTCTCCGAGATCCCTGTCCCGTGCCCTGAATTATGGGGCACACGTCCTGCTTCTTTGTCCAGCTCCAGCCAACTGGCCCACTCGTGTGCTTAGGCTGTTAAAAGGCAACAGCCCGTTTCGCTGGAGTAGCAGGCACGTTTATTTCCCTATTTTGCCTTTCTTTCAATGGGACTGAAGAGTTTGCTGTGCGTTGTAACAGAGGTGCCCCTTATTTCATCAGGTTGGAGACAAAACCAGGTTATGCAGATTAACACCAACCCAGGGGATTTTCCGTGGATTTCAAACGTTTGAAAACACTTTAAGATTTGGGAACAGAGAGCCAACTTGTCGGAAGAAAGACTCTCTGCAGTCCCTGCTCGCTGTGGCCCACCGAAAGCGCCGGCCTGCCCGCGCGGAGCGTGACAGCAGCCGCTTCGCTGTGCCGCCGAAACGCCTCGCCTCGCTTTTCAGAATGCAAGCAGAAAAAGACAAAAGCAGAAAATACCCAAACACACTGAGGGCCTAACAAAAGGGACCCGTCCCAGCGTGTGTGGGGGGGACACCAGCCTTTAATTATACCGTTCCACCACAAATTCAGGCGGCAGTCCCGCTCGCCTTCTCCGGCCCCGCTCCGGTTTTGTGCGCGCAAACCTCGGAGCCTTGAGGGGCTGGGAGAGGAGCTCGAACCCAAGAGAAGCCGTTCGAGTTGTACGGTGCTGTTTTATGTGGTGTTTTTTTATAAAAAGAGCCTCCTTCGAGCGGCACCCCCGGCCTCGAAGCCCCCCCCCTCCCCCTCAGGGCGCCGTGAGGGGGGCGGCGGGCGAGGAGGGGAGCGGGGGCGGCGAGAAGGGAACCGGGGGCTCTGAGGAAGGCACCGGGGGCCCGTGAGGAAGGCCGGGGGGCTGTGAGGAGGGCCGGGGGCCGCACAATGGAGCCGCCTCAGCCGCCGCCGCCTTCCTGCGAGCGGCTCCGCGAAATGGCTTCTGGGCGCCGCCGGCTCCCCGCCCCCCGCGGCCGCCCGGCGGGCTCCGGGCTCCGTGAGGGGAGGGCGCCGTGAAGGGGTGGAGGTGGAAGGGAGAGGGGGGGGGGGGGAGGAGGAGGAGAGGTTTGGGATGTTTTTTGGGGGGACCCCAGGGAGGTTTTGGGGTGCCGGGGAGGAGGAGGAAGGCGGCGCGGGGTCCCGCCTCGGCGCGTCCCGCTCACCATTTGCGCACTTTCTCGATGGCCGCCATCACCCGCTTGATATCATCCTTCGCCCGGCTCCGGGTCTCGGCCCGCACCGAGCGGCCCGACATGCTGCTGGGGGGGCTGGGGAGGGAGGGGAGGGGAAGGGCGGCCTCGGCGGCGGGGAATGCGGCGCGGCGTCCGTCCGTCCGTCCAGTCCGTCCCTCCGTCTGTCCGCCCGCCCGCCCGCACGCACAATGCTCCCTCAGCTCGGCGCCGCTCGGCTCCGCCCGCCAACGGGGCCCGCGCACTGCGCACGCGCGCCCGGAGCCGCCGCCATCGCCGGGGGCTGCCCGCGCAGGGGGGGGATGGCGCCGTGAGGGGGGCTCCGTGAGGGGGACGGCGGGGAGATGGGGAGCGGCTCGGATCCGATCCACTCCGATCTGATCGCGTCGGATCAGAATGGATCGGACCCGGTCGCTCCCCGGCTGCCTGCCCCCCGCGGCCCCCCCGGTGTGGAGCTTCCCCTGAGGCGGCTGAGCCCGGAGCCTCCCCGGCCCGCGGGGCTCTGCCTCAGGCAGCGGCTGGGAGGTTTCCGAGCTGCCCGAAATAATTGCCGTGGAATAAAGCTGGTTCAAAGTAGAAAATCAAACCCGACCCGTCCACAGCCATACACAAACACATCAGTAAATGGACAGTTACACGCACACCGGGTGTTGGACTTGGTTAACTCACCCCCGGCACGCACCTTTGTGCTAATTGCACAACCGCGGATAACTCGCAGGCTGCGTAACAGCAAGCTCTTGTTTAAAAAACATTGCCAGTGAGAGGAACGCTTCTCGAGGCCCTACATTATTATTCAAATTGATGCTGAGGATGATGTAAAGAAGGAAGCGTGTTCAACAGCACTTCACTGATCTTCCCACAGCAACTTGTATCAGCCTCATTATGCTGTTTACACAAACACCGTAAGATGCTGTCCCATCGGTATTGCACTTCTCATCGGAGCTACTACTTTCAGAAAGGAAACCAAAGTTTCAAAGGCCAAAAGGGAAACCTGGTTTCAGTGTATATCACAGCGTTCCTTGCATCACCAAAGTCTGGTGGTTTTGTTTGTGTAATTACAAACCCAGTCTAACCTCTCCAAGCATTTCGTACAGGACATTTATCAACGTATATAATCGATACAATACTTTTATATTGCTATTTTGCTGCCTGTTTGTTTTACAAATAAATACGCTCTTAACATAATGGAAACAGACAGTATCTGGCAAAAACCCACCCTGAAATAAGTTCTAGGAAGGCTCTAGCCAAGGATAGGGGTGATCTGTGCAAAAAGACAGTGCAGCAACCACGGTGTCACTCTTTACAGGCTTTAGTTTGTGACCTTTAGTTTTTAATAAACATAGAATATAAATTTCACAGATACTTGAGGAGAGGATGTTGGAAAGTGGGAACAAGTAGAGAATTGTGGCAGCTACAATTCTGAGCCTTCACAGATCAACTGTTCATTGATTTTTACTGTTCTTTTCTCTGGCTCGGCAATAGGTAAGCCAAGAATGTCAGCAGTGAACCTCTTTGCTGTGATTTCCTCTGGAATTTCTTCTTCAGTCAAAGCTGCTGCACCTGGAGAGCAGTAACAACAACACAAAACACACAATAGCAATGTAAAAAGGGCATTCCAGAACAGTAATACTTGTAAGTCGCTGTGAGCGGATAGAATGCTTTTAACGATGTATGGAGTAATCATAAAGTATTGGCTTACTAGCTTAACACTTTATACATTCTTATTGGGGAAAAACTGCCAAATGTGTGAGGCTGAATCACCTTGCAGTACATACAGACCACAGAAGAGCCGAGGGAGCAGACAATTTTTACACTCCATCGGTTTGACATGATTCTAGGATCCTCGGGCACCCAGGGACTGCAGTCAGTGTGCAGTGCTGTGTGGTTCCTGCACGGCACACAGCTGCTGCCAGCTCACCAGGTGCTGCTCTGGACTGGTGGGGACTGGGACATGAGGTGCACAAAGCACGGTGCTCATCAGTGTTCCCAGTGTCAATGGGCAGGGTGACATGGGTGAAATCAGCTCTCTGAGTCACTGCTTTAGACTGGGGTAGGATGGGACATTAACTGCATACGAACGTGGTTTTTATCACGAGTTCTGTTACTGTGGGCATTGCTGCCTGGGTGAAGTCAACACTGTAATTTGCATAGTGCAGGATTCCTTTTTGCCTGTGGACTTTGGCGTGTAAACCTTCCACTCTGTGTTTCCAATTTTGGTTCCAAGCCAGCAGACAAAGAGCAATGCAATCCTGTCAGGTCTCAGTTACATTTCATTGTTCATTTATTTTCAGAGACACCGATGTAACTGTTGCATGGATGAAGGACAAGCTACGGCTCTCTGACTATTCCTGCAATCCCATCTCAGTGTTTTTGACAGCTCTTGGCCTAACAGGGTAATGGGCTTGCAATTTAAATTACTCTGTTTGGGAAGTGAAGCAATCCTGCCTCTGTGCAGTGCAGAATGTTAATCCCGTACCTGAGGGATCGCACGTGTCCAGGTCAAATCTTCCTCCCGCTGAATGCCTGCCCAGCAGGGCAGCCAGACACTGCGCCAGTTCGTCCTCCGTCATATGCTCTCCTGTATGTGATGAAGTAAAACCAGCCTCTTGGGTTACAGTGTCGTTAGCACAAAAAAACAGAAGACAACTCAAACATGAACAATGTACAAACAAAAAAGGGTAGTTCGGAAGGGGACTTGGCTTCTCTGAGACACAGGTCCCATCACCAATCAAAGCACATGATCCCAACACAAGAAAATGTTGATCCCAAGGAAAATAGTTCCCCTGTCTTGCATGCATTTGGGGCAAAAATGCCTATCAAAGGGAGAAGGTCTGATGCAAACAGCTCTTAAGGCTATGTTGCACTTGCAGGAGCCTGAGCTGCTGTTACCACTGAATCCCCGGCCCAGGACAGACCACAGACCAGGTAGCCCTGTGCCCAGGGCTGTAGCCATTTCTGCACAGAGGAGGAAGAGGATGGTGCAGGAAAGTTTTATTCTAATATCCTGGGATAAAGCGAACACAGTGCTTGTTCCCAGCTCGTGGCTGGCTTGTACCCTGAAGCATAAGGTTATAGATTTGTTATGAAACTGTTCTATCCTATCTAATTATCTATTTATGGATGTTCACACCATCCATATACATAACTAACCTTTCTCACATTGCTTGAATCCTCGTTTTCCACTGATCATTGTGGCCAGGAGTTTTACTGGGTGCTGTGCTAAGTAAAACAGCATTTCCCTCTACCTGTTTTAGTGCTTAGCTGCACTAAAAGCTCCCTGTTTTGACAGCAGGAGCAAGACAATAGCAGCATGTAATTTACCACTCTAGCGTTGGCCATAAGTACATTTATACATGCCTTTACAGTATTTCCTCTGATTCAGCTGAACAAAACCATGCCATCTTTTCAGCTTCAGTCCAAGACTCTGACCAATTTCATCCTTCCTCTCTTGTCACCCTCTTTTCTTGCTGTTTACAACCTTTCTGGAGACTGTGTGGGGAATGGTAATAAGGGTACACTGGAGGAAGGATACGATTTGCCAAGACCCATACTCATTGTTTGCCAGAAAAGATCCTTCAGACCATCAGAAATTTCTAGAGCAGCAAAAGAAGTGCAGCTGAGACAACAGACGTGATTATTCAGTTTAAAATCCTAAGGCAGGTGGCTCCCCACGCCTGCCCTGGTTACCAAGCTATAGTTCCAGATTAATTTTTTGCTGCAGTGAATACATTCTGAAATTGAAGACAGAACTAGCGAGCATAAAACTAATATTAGAAAAATAACTCACCTCTGCACTGAAGCAGCAACAGTAAGTCTCCTCTGTCAATAACTTTGTCTCCGTTCTCATTGTCATAACCAAGAACCTGAAACGCTCGCCGTATGGCTTTCATTGACAAGCCAAACGCAGGCCGATGATTTATATAAAGTTTGATAAAATCCCCTAAATTGATTTTTGTCACTTGTTCTCCGGTGTCCACATACTCGCTGAATTTTACTTCATTTATCATTTCTTCGATCTACAGATGAAGGCAAGGCAGACTGTCAGACATTTGCTTTTTGGAGAGCATCAGGATGGCTTCTGATCCCCCAAATGGTGCCACAGGTGTCACGGCAGATCCCAGCAGTGCACTAGTGCTCAGCAGCCGAGGATGGACACAGCTACTGTCACGGGCTCATTGTTACGAGAATTTCAGCTAAAAATGGGGGTAGCAGATGCATAATCATTTTGGATTTCCTCTGTTTGCTGGTGTGGTAGCTCTCAGTGGTGCCAATGGAGTTGCTCTAGATTTACACAAGTAGAAGTGAGCTGTTTCTGCTCCAAATTACATTAATGCTAACAGTGTAAATCCTGCAGCACTCTGGAATATCTGTCCCTCTCAGATAAGCGTGTTGCCCAGGAAGCTGCATGTTACTGCTGCGAGAAGGGGAAGAAACCATCCCCAGGGGCTGCATGGCGAGGGCTCCCCGTGACTTTGCAGCTGTCCCCAGTACCCTTGCTGCAGCTGTGTCTGCACTCTGGGGACAGCGGGCAGGCAACCCGCAGAGCAGTAAGTACACCAGCCCGCTACAAAAATACGTGCACGCAACTCCTGACACAACCAGGCTGCACAAGGAACCTACACACCCCAGCAGGCATCAGCAGTCATCTCCTATTATCCTCCACCCGCCTCAACAGGCGTCTGGCACGGCTCTGTCACGGCACGGGACAAATCTGAAACTTGCTCGTGCCATGCACCGGCCGTGCTGGGTGCCCGTGGTTTTCCTGAGGTCTGGTGCCGTGCATCAGCCCAGCTGGCAGCGTGCCGATGGGTCCAACGGGCAGCTCCTGCTCCCTGCCCTCGTGTCCTCGTGCCCCGAAGGGCAGCCCCTCGCACAGACGCGGGCGGTGAAAAAGCACCGAGAGCAGTCCCCGTGCCGGCACGCACCGTGCGTGCGGCCCCCCAGGGAGGGAAGCTGATGCAAGACCTCCCCGGGGAGGACGCTGCGTTCAGCCTTTGTCCTCGTGTCACAAGTTTTTCCACTGAATGAAGCCCAGGGAAGGGGGAAATCTTCGCCTTATGTTTTCCCTGTAGTGAATGCCGTGCCAGGCGAGAGCAGTCAATTTGACTCAGCTCTGACTGATCTGGGATTAGGTTTTTTATCAGCCCCACTGAACTACAGACAAAAACACCAATTCCCCAAAGCCTCGCTACTCAGCCCAAGCTGTTCTTTCTCCCTCCTGCTTTTCCTTTATTAAAATACTCCAGAGAGAGATGGACTTTCTGCATTTTAATACTGTCCTGCCTGCTTTGAGAAGCAGATTGTAGGTTGCCTGCTTTCCCAGCAGCTTTGCACCTCTTTCCACGCCTGAAACGCTGTTATGATTTTCATTTAGGGGGGGGAGTAACAGTTATTCTTCCGGAGACATTTCTCAGAGGAATATGTTCTCTCTGTCCCCGAGAGGCAAAAATGCAATGAGCCAAGGAGAAGCTCTAACAAAGCACCGGGGAATAACACCGCAGCCTGACACAAGGACAAAGCAGTCCCAGCTTGGAGGAACATTCTAGGGGTGCCAGGGCTCCAAAGCAAGCCTGCTGCGGGCTCCCTGGCAGGGACATGGCCGGGCAGATGGGGTGGCACCGACCTGCAGCACCAGGGGGTCCGGCACAGTCAGCGGAGACGCAGGCAGCCTCCCCCGCGGAAAGCCGAAGGGAGCGCAGCGACGTGCTGCTTCCCTTGGGAGAACCCCTCCTGCGCTGAAGGGCTGTATCTGGTGCTAGGAGGTTGTTATTTAAATCTCCTTGCATCAGGTTCTGTAATTATTATTTTTTTTGGATGCGTTTTAATTGCCCTTTTGCCAGGTTACAAATGAGGTCTGTACACAATGCAATCGGCCTCGTAGAAAAAGCTACAAAGGGAGAAGCAGCAGCACCCTTATTAAATCACTTGTCTTTGCCTGCCGTAAAATTTGAAGCTAAAAAGCTCTTAAGAAATGTTTGATAGGAAGCTCCTCTGCTGCAACCTCAAAGGCAAGCTCAGAGAGAGCTTCTGTAGAGTTTATCAGTTATGAAAGAGCTTTACGTTCCGTGGGAATAAAAGCTGCTGGCTCCATCTAAAACCGTTCTTTCATCAGCCCGAGACAGAACAAGAAAAAGAAGCTCTGTCAGCATCCCAAAAGCACGGAGCTGGGCACTCCCACCCGCACCAGTAGCGCGTGGAGCACGCTTTGGCTGTCTCCTCCCAGACCGGGCTCACCCAGCACCAAGAAGCACAGAAGTTCAGACTCTCCTGGAAGGCACAGGAAGACCAAAGCACAACGTTGCCTGCACACAAGGTACTTTAGCCTATGGACTGTGGAAAGCTGGAGACTTGTGCCTTGGGAGCCAACGGAAGACTCACAGAAACACGGAAGCAGAGGACAGCTGAAGTTGGGACTCTAGAGGTCATCTGGTCCAACCTCCCCCCACAAGCAGGTTGCCCAGGACCATGGCCAGTTTGTCCACAACGTCATTCCTCAGCTTTCTCAGTTCATCCTCTGAAACCCAGCTCTCTACAGCCATTGCTGTTTTATAAGTTTGCTGCCAAATTCTGATCACTACAGCACTGATGCAGACGAGGCTAAATACATTTAAGCCAGCAGATATACCCTGAGAGCCATCCAGCATGGCAAGGGTCTGAATCTGGCCCTCAGGCTGCTCAGTAAACGCAATCATTCTTGCTCTTTTTTTTTTTAATAATAATAAAAACATCTGACAAACCTCTTCCTCTGATGGATAAAATCCCATTGCTCTCATTACAGAAGGAATTTCCTCCAAGGGAATATGCGTTGACACCTGTCTGGTCTCCAGCGCGTCGATGCCTTGGCTGCGCAGCTGCACATAGTAGAAATAGTCTTCCAGCTCCTGCGAGGGATTCAAACGAGACACTGTAAAGTTCAGCCACCAACAGGCGAGGGAGATAAGGCTTCTTTTAAGGTTCACTAACAGGCGTATCAATGAGACTGCTGTTAAAGGCGATCTGGACAAAAAAACTAAAGAAATGTCAGGCCTGTATAAATGAATCTTAAACTCCAACCAGATGTTGCTGCGCAGCGGTCACGGTGAGCACAATTACCCTGAAGAATTCGCCTTCTCGGCCGCCCTCCAGCAGGCTGTAGAACGGGACCAGGTCCTCCCCACCCAGGGACGCTGCAGCCTCCAAGGCACTGGCATGGGCAGAGAAAAGAAGGTGCAGGAAGGGTTTGTGCAGGGGGAGATTCCTCATTTCCCTTTCTAGCCATTGTTCAGAGACACTTTCGATAAATAAATAAAATCCCCCGGCCTCAGAATGCAGGAAGGAGAAGCACTGCCTTGAACCGTGTGCGATTTTATCATCGGCCTGCACTTCTACGGCATGTTTCATACCCAGGTTTTACATACAATAGCACAGTGTGGGAATTAATTATTCCTGAATGGCCCTCTTGTTTGGGGGAACGAGCGCGGGGCTGGGAGCCAGCAGCTTTTCCATGGACTCGAGCTGGGTGTCTGGCATTTAGCTTTCCTGCTTCCTTATAGAGACATTGAGGGAGACGAATTAGCTAGATCAGCATTTTGAACGTGCAGAGCGCCGGGACTCGGTGTGTGCAAGAAACCACACAAAGCCAGCTCCCCGTCCCTCACTCCAACACGTTCCTCCCCGACAGCTCGGCGCAATCCCTTACGCTGCGAGTGCAAGCAGCAGTGCCACAGGTGCAGCCCATGTTAAACGGACACAGCACCTCTCCGTTCCCATTCCCAGGCAGCTTTAGCAAGAAGAATCTCCTCGGTTTGTGCAGATGAAGAAGGAAAGGGAGCCTGGCAGCACCATCTCGCCACAGCGTTGCCACACAACACCCCGTGCCCGCAGCAGGGCTGCAGCTTCGATGCACACCTCCGTTGCACTGCTTCCACATGGTTTTTGCAAGCTCGGTACTTTTTTTTTTTCATAATTAAGTTATTTGGGTATTAAACACAGTGGAGATGCACAAGATGCCAGGAGCAGCAATAAAATGATAATTAGCTCATCAAGAGCTCCGCTCCAAAAACAAATTACACAGAAATTCAATGTTGCCTGGACTCTGGCCAACCATTATAAAGAAGGATCATTTATATTCTATTGCCTTCCTTAAAATGTCGCTTATTCTGACCCCCGACTGCTTAAGCCACACAAAGTGGAAAAGAAAATAAATAAGCCCATTGCTTTCCCACCCAGGTTTCATTGTTCTGGCGCACGGAGGTGAGCGAGCTCAGCACCCTCCTGGCTCTGTGCTGTGCAGGCAGTACCTGCAGGAGCCGTTTACACAGGACCACTGCATGCTTAGCCACAAAATCTGCCTCCTAGGAAGATGAAGGGTGTTTCGTAGGGGCAGCACACCCCAAAAATAAGAGGCCACACTGCTCTCCCAGCTGCTGCTCCCTTCCGATGTATGCACATTCACCGTGTGCTTGCAGTGAGCCCTCTGCCAGTGCCCACGTTGCAGCAAGCTTCAGTCCTTGGCGTGCCGAGCAATGGTATCTAGATCCTGCCTCATGGGACCTCCGGGAGCACACATCCCTTGGGTCAGGAGCCCGCCTGGCAGGCCATGAAGGGCCACACACCCTGGCAAGGGCAGAGGAAACCTGGCAGAGAAGCTCGCTGCTGGCACGCTGGGCCAGAGCCCGGGATGCCTCAGGAGCAAAGCAGCCTTGGCTCCTTCAGCCGTCCCGTTTATTGCAGCCCATTTGCTCGTGTAAGCAGAGCTTTATGGGATTACGGTGGCTTGTCCTAAATCCAGCCTTCAAATGCAGTGGGGATTTCCTCGCAAATGCTGGCCTATCCCATTTGGAGAACAGACTTTTTTGTATCAGCTGTGGCCCCGTACACTCCTCCTGATCCCCTAACCAGATAATCCCTATCCCAGCGGTCAGACTCTCACAAGGACCAGAAATCCCTCAATTTCTTGGCATTCGGATGCTATTTCCCAGGCAGAAGAGACGATGCAAAGAGAGGGAAAAGAAATAGCTGGGAGACCTGGCTTTAGCTGCCCCGGACACCAACAGAGACCTTCCAGGACAAAAGCCCCATTCTCAGTATAAACGCTGGGAAACATTTGCTTCAGCTGTGCTGGCCAAGCAGCTGTGGAAAGCCACAACAAGACTCCCTTCTCCTTCCCGCACTACTCACTTCAGGTTCACCTCCCATTTCAGAACAGTGCGGTCGTTCCCCCCCGCCGTAAAGATGTAGCGCCCGTCGTAGGAGCAGGCCAGGTCTGAGACGCCGTCTGGGTGGCAAATGAAAGCTGAGGATTTGTGGGGGTTGCCATCCACAGGCAAAATCTGCAGGCCAACCTGTCAGGGGAGAGGAGGAGGTGAGGGCTGGGACTGTGCTGTAGTTCACTTCTCCTGGCCCTATGAGGGAAGGTTCCCTTGACCCCCATGTCTAAGCCAGCAGTGCTCCAAAATATGCCCTGCAAGAGGCTCCGTACCTTGTCCTTTGTAACGTAGGCCAGATAGCATTTCTGGGGGTCTGTAGTGCTCCTTGTTGGGAGGATTTGTATCTTCTCCAGCGGGGATCCATAGGTTGGTCCCAGAAGGGTCTTCCTAAAAGCAGACAACATTGTCACCCACTCTAGGGCTCACAAAAACATTTTCTCCCTCTGAAACGCTGTGATGCATGAGGATGGGTGGATAAGGGGAGCACGCAGGATAGCACAGGATCCCTGTCCAGAAGGAACCACACTGGGCTAAGAGAGGAATTTAGTACTCAGGGATGAGTCCCTAGGGCTGTGCTGATCCTATGGGCTCCTATCTCCTCAGCTGATGCCCAGCCGATGCGTCTCAAGGTGGGGAGAGGGCAGGTGGGAGCTCAAGGTGGGGGCTCAGGTGGGAGCAGGGCAGAGGAGAACAGAGACTCAGGATGGGGCTCCCAGGCAGAAGGTGAGGGGGCTTGGGACTGAATCTCCCCCCAACCTGCACATTTTGGTCGTTGTGTTGTAGAGCTTCATTTTGTAGCAGCTGTTGGCCGTGAGGATGAAGGACTCGGTGCCGAACTGGGGGTACCAGGCCAAGCACAGGGGCACGGCAACCTGCTCTACCCGGTCCCTGTGCGAGATCACCAGCTGGTCCTTGCTGCTGCTGCTCAGGTCATATTCCACCTGGAGGGAAGACAAGGAAGCACGGCGATCTGCCAGCATCCTGGACGTGGCAGATTAACCGGATCTAGCGGCTGTTGCAGCAGCCAGGACGAGCAGCCGTCAGAGCAGAGGCTCATCCCCAAACCCTGGGCAGATCTGCCCTGAGGCCAGGCTGACAAACAGCCGGTGGGGAGAGACACAGAGCTGCAGAACCACGGGCTGAGTCTCCCTCTCTTGTCCAGACAGGACTTCAACCACGACGCCCTGCTGCCCTTCGGGCTCTCGCATCAACATACCAGCTGCCGGTCCTCCCCGAGGCTCAGGAGCCGGGGCTCATTGCTGTCCAGCTGAACCCCAAACAGGATGCTCCGGATGGGTTTGTAGTGGGAGTGGAGCCCTGCCAGGTGTTCCCAGCATCTCTGCCCATTTTGCAGGACTCTTTTGTAAACAGTCACCGCGTATTTCTCATCCTGGAACGAGAGCATGAAGGTCAACACGCCACAGTCCCCTGGGCACGTCCCCTGGCTAGCAGTGGGCAGCCACATGTGTCCCCTCAGGGCTTATGCCAGCCCTGCCAGCTCTGCAGCCCCCCAGAGGGTGAGGGTCATTGCGCTGAGGAAGCACTGGGGCAGACAGCTCCATACGAGGCATCTGGATAGGACCGAGCAGACTTACAGCGGTTGCGAGGTACTCGGAGTCGTGGGAGAAGCTGATGTGAGTCACGGCGCCCCGCGAGAACCTGAAGGCTTCACAGCAGGACTGAAGAGAAATGGCATCGAGGATGTACACACTTCCATCAGTGAAACCAGCAGCCAGAAAGCAACCTGCAAAGTCCACCAGAAAACAATCCCACCACAACCCCTCTTTTGGGAAGCTCCGTGCTTGGCACATGGGGAGATCAGGAGACCAGGATACCTTCGGGGTCGTAGGACAAGCACTGGATGCCGGCCTCAGTGAATATCCTGCTAACGAGGTACTTGGGCTGCTGGTAGTCCCACACTTTGAGCAGCCCGCAGTGACTGCCCACAGCAAGCAGTGCCTGTCGGGGGTGACAGGCGATGGCAGTCGTTGCCTTCTTGGCCTCTTCCATGACTTTTTCAAAGTTTGTCCCGTCTGTTGCAACATGGAGCACTGTTGCATCAGAGGTTGAAAGGATAAAGTTCCTGTTTAGTGAGAGAAACAAAATTTGATGAATCAGACTAGCTGGCTCGTGTCCCTCTGAGCGATATTACACAGTCTTTTTTTGTCAACTTAGCAGGACGATCGCTTATGTTTTGTGATACACAGTATGCAGACACTTATTGACCTAGAAGGCAGGTGGCACCCTGTGTCTGCACCCTGGGGAATCTCCACAGGACGGCACTGGAACCAGTTCCCTTTTCTACTTGGGTAGGCAAGTCAGAAGACAGACGCCATCTGGGTAGCTTTTGCCGTTTGCAAGTCACTGGTGTGTGAGATGGACAAACGAGCAATTGAGGGTTCTCTGAATAGTCCTTTCACTTGTCCCCACACCACCACTGTCAGTGGCTGCAAGTTGGCCTTGCTGCTGCAGACGGGGCAGAGGACGGCTCGAGACCCAGCGTGCAGACAGAGCGGCCGCCTGTTCGTCGGCTCGGCCACGCCAGCTGCAGCACCACAAGGACGGTCCCACTGCCTAAATGGTGACGGGTAAAGAAGGCGGCTGAGCAATCGGTCAAACAGGCCTGAGGACTGAGAGGCTGGGCCCCACAGGAGGGTCAGGAGAGGACTGTGTAGGGCTGAGGCAGAGGAGCCCGGCCCTGCTGCACACACGTGGCTGCAGCCAACATTTCTAGCTGGCCCATGGCCACCGCTGGTTTCTGCTCCTCTGAACTGGCCTCCAGAGGATGCTGGGCCTCCTGCAGAGGCAGCCAGGCGACAGCAGTCCTTCAGCTTCCCCTTTGGTTTTCTGCCTTTGGTGCTCCCCGGAGCTGCCAGGAAGAGGTGCAAGGTGACATGGAACAACTTGGGAAAACACGACGCTTCCCGGGGCACTGCTCCAGGTTAGAGAGGAACCTGTTCCATGTGGCTCTTTGGAAAACACATTCGTTGATGGACAGACGCTGCCAGGAGAGTCTCAGCAGGAGCAGTGGCCATATGGTTTGCAGCCCCAGAACAGCATCATCAGTCCCACAGACTTCCTACAGCCCCTCAGGCATCGCCACGTCCCCGCTGGGGCTGCCCCAAGGCCCTGAGCTGCACTGTGCAGCCCAGCACTGCACCACCTGGATTATCTCGCCCAGCGGTGGTAAAATCTGACTGGAAATAGCCACCAGGGAGGGATTTAAGGGGGGAGGATTAAGGGGCTCAGCAGGAGCTGTGGGCTCGGCATTAGCCCTGCCTGGCGTGCCGGCTACGTGACAGAGGAGCTGTGCAGCTCCGCGCCCAGCTGGATGTCCCCATGCTGTCATAAACCAACAATTCTCCATCCTGTGCCTAGGCATCACACCCGGCTCGTGATCTGAGATGTGCTGGGGCCACCAGTTTGTGACGGGCACTGGGAAGTGCCCACAGGGCAGATGCAGAAAGCTGGGTTTATGGGGGGAGGCTCACCCGATGGTGAAGGGCTGGCTGCCGGTGCTGGAGCAGGCTGAGGCGGCATCAGGAGGCTCAGGAGGGGGTTTGGAGAAGGAGATGGAGCAAATGGGCCCCACGCCGCTATGGCTGTAGCAGGCCAGGAGCTGCAGCCGCCCATTGTAGAATTTCACCCGGCCTTTCACATCCCCTGTCACTATGCAGCTGGAGGGAAGGGAAAGCTCTGCGTTAGGGCTCGAGAGGCACCGTGAGCAGGTCTGGCCTGCCCTCTGCTCCACTGGTGCAACCCACGGGGCTGGGACACGGGGTGGCTGTGGGGACACGCAGCGCCTGTCCCTGAGCTGTGCGGGATGAGGCCCGTGGAAAGCGTCTGAGCAGCGTGCTGATGGAGAACAGCCAAGTATTTACTGGGTAGAAACAAATCTCTTCCCTTCTGCCTTTTCTCCGCACAAGTGCGTGAGAAGAGCCCCTCACAGACCAGGGCAGCAGCTGAAGGGCTCTGCTGTGACCCTGCGGTGTCCCCAGCGCTGTCCCCAGGGCTGCTCGGAGGCTGCCTGCTCCCTCTGCCGGCAGAGGCCCGGAGGCTGAGCGAGACGTGGCTGTGTCCTCCGTGACCGTGACACGTCCAAGTGCAAAACTGCAGCACTGTCAGTAGCTCACCACCGTTCTCTCTGCCATTTCTGGGCCGAGGTGCCCAAGCACTGTACCCACAGCTATGAACAGTGCCAGCTCCTTACCTCTCCAGCACCATCAGCACCGTGATGCTGCTCCTCTGCATCGGCACCAGCTTGGTGGCCTTCGTGCTGTGCGGCTGGACCTGCGCCTCCTCGGACAGGGAGGGGGCACGGGCCGTGTCCCACAGCACCAGCTTCCCGGCTGAGGTGCCCGTCAGAGCCTGCGTGTTGTTAAAGTGGAAAGCCGACTGGCTGAAGTGTCCCACCACGCTGTTGAAGGTCTGCAGAGAGAGCGGCAGGGCCACAAGTTAGTCCTGCGCTCTCCTCTTTGGTCCTTGCCTGCCCTGAGCTGGGACTACTGCAGGCAGCTCTCCTTGCAGGAGCGAGCCTCAGGAGATGATGCTTGTCCCTGCTTGTCCCCCCCCAAGAGACCGAGGGGGACAGGCTGGGGACATGGCCACTGGTTTTGCAGAGGGACAGGATGAAGGTGCCACCAGCAGGAAGGCGAACAGGGGATATGCAGCCTTCCCCACACGCTCACCTGCTTGGTTAAAGGCGGAGTGCTGTACTGCAGGCTGGCATCACTCTGTGGGGAGAGCAGAATGTGAGTCCCTGTGAGGACAGCCACCCCATAACATCACCCTGCAGCAGCTGTGTGTCCCCTCCCCACCCTCAGCTGGGGACCAGAGCTGGGCTTGGGGGCCAAGAAGGCTCCAAGACCCCTCAGAGCATGCAAAACCACCTTCCCCTCCGCCTGCTCCTCTCCCAGAAGCTGATGACCATCACAAGGCACACAAACACACATGGGAAACATGGGTGGGACCGGCCTGGTGCAGGTACCTGGCCCCACGCCACCTCCATGCCCCCTGGTAGCACGTTGGGTGCTAGGAGGAGGACTCCCCACGGTCCTACTCACCCACAGGTAAAATATCACCTGGGTTTTGCTGTTGCTGACAAACTCATGGGGATTTTGGGGGTTAAAAACAACAAAATCCTGAAATTAAAAGGTGAGAGCTGCATTAATGTCAAGCCCAGTGATGTTCCTTGCTTTATTCTTTCATGCAAAACTTCTGCATTTATCCAGGCACACCAAACAGAGCGCAGTGGCCCTAGGTCCACGCAGCACTCACCTGGAGCCCAAATTCAGGCCTCAGCTCTGTGCTGCACACAGGGCTCTCGGTGGGAGACGTCCACCTCCAGACACAAACTTTCTGTCACAAGGGGGGAAACCAGGAGACGTTTGTGGCTTCCTGAGAGCTCCAGGCAGGCCCCATCCTCCAGCTTCAGAGGATGGGGGGATATAAAAGACTGGAGCAGGATAAACATAGCATAACCTGACAGCTCAATTTCAGTAAGCACTGCTAGGAATTGCTTCAGTGAAAGCACATCGGGAGCTTTTATCCCATATTCAGACCTGCTTCTCAGCTCTACCATGTTCAGTTTAATGAAATCCAGCAAAACCCACGCAGACCCACTCTCTGCCCCCCCACCCACGAGAAGAGCCTCCCAGGTACCCACAAAGCCCCAAAGGGGGCAATGTTTTCCTCACCTGTGCCCTGCCAGCACTGATGGTCACCAGATACCTCGCATCCCTGGAGATGGCAACAGCGGCGACCCCGCCACCGGGGTGGCTGTCAAAGATGGTGCGCACAGGTATCCTGTGGAGAAAAACCTAAATTTGGGGAGGGGAGGGAGTCTGCAGGCAGGGTGCTGGTGTGGGATTTGGAGCAGCTGGAGCTGGTGCTGAGCATCCTCCCCAGGCCTTCCTCCCAAGCAAAGGACTCGCCCCCACGGTCCCTCCATGTCCCACGGACACGTGGGGTTTGCACGGAGGAGGCTCCCGGCAGCTCACCCCGAGAAGGTGTCCCACACGATGACCAGAGGGTCTGGGCCTCCGTCAGCAGTGGCAACCCAGCGCCGGTCCTCGCTCACACACAGGCAAGAGATGGTGTTCGCGTGGCCCTGGTTGGGGAAAGAGAGAAGCACCGGGATGCTCCAAGCCAGGAACTTGTTTCAAGCATTCATCAGCTGCTTGGCTGTGGGATCTCCTCATCCTCTCTCCCAGGGGTCCTCTGCTTTCCTCCCTCTGTCCCCACAGGGGTTACAGGTGTCCCCAAAGCAGCCGGTGTGCCCGCAGCACCCAGGCAGCTGCTCCGGCCATGTGCAGGCACCAGGATGAGGGAGAAGGGAAGGTGCTCGGGATAAAGGGAGAGGAAGGAGCTGTGTACCAGACCTGCAGGTGGTACTGCTGGCCCCCGAGGATGTCGTGGATCACGGCTGTATGGGAGCAGACGTACAGCAGCACCCGGTCCTCCCCGCCCGCCAGGCTGTGCACGGCCAGGCTGCTGTTGTAGCCCAACGCCCAGGACAGGCTCTGTGGGAAGAGCAGCTCCTGGCTCTTAGCAATGGGAACAAAACAAGGGGGAAGAAAAAAAAAAATCCCCCAAAAAGCTCCTGGGGGGACAGGACAGAGCTGGGCAGGAGAGCTGGGCAGGTCACCACAGTGGCAGGTAGCACGAGGTGGCACCACGGATGCTCTCCTGCCCTCTCATACTCACGAGGGGGTGACAGCTGCTCTGCTTGTCCCCCTGGAAGAGCAGACCCGGCCGGGCCACCCACAGCAGGCTGGCAGAGCCATCGTGCCGGTCGCCCTCCCAGCTCCTCTGCTGCTGCTCCTGCTTTCCGTGACCCCCATGAGGGCTGGAGATGGCCCCTGTGGGGTCAGGCTGTGCTGGGGTGGGTTTGGGGGGTCCCTCTGAGCTTGGTGTCCCAGTGGCGGTGTCTTCTAGGGCAGTCTTCAATGTGGCTGCGTCCTGCCACCCGTCCCAGGTGCTGAACAGGGTTCTTGGGACCCCTGTCCCCAGAGGAGACTGTGGGGGACCTGACAGTGCATCCCCCGGTGCTCCTTCCTCCTCCTGGGCAGCAGCCACAGGGCCCTTGGAAAGGGAGAGAGGTTTGGGTCCGTGGCAGGAGCCCTTGGGAGGCTTCCTCCATGCCACTTCATCTCCTTTTGGGGCTCCAAATCAGCTTTTGCCTTTCCCCCAGGGCCCCCAGCTTTTCCCGTGTCTCCCACGCAAGGCACAGGCCCGGTTGGATGCTGCAGCCCCGTTGGGTGAGATAAGGTTTCGTTCAGCCCAGGGATGAGGCTGGGGTCACGTAACTCGCCGGCAGCTCAGGTGCTCAGCAAATATTGATGGCTGGGCAGAGCCTCTGGGAGCAGGCTCCAGCCCCACAGAGCTTGTTTAATAACAAAAGTGGGGAAAGGGGGAGCTGAACAGAAACTCCTGCTCACCTCAGCTCTCCAATTTGCTGCTTTAAGTCATCAGCAGCTGCTGGTAGGGACATTTTGGGTCCCACGGGCAGGACTGCATCAAGTGGGTGCTCCCCCTGAGTGCTGGAAATGCTGCAGCACAGGGGCCCCGCTCTGCCTCCCCAGGGGATGTTGGGGATAAATTATGACCAGGAGAAACCCCCCTGGTACTGGGGATGGGGTCTCTGTGTCCAGCTGCGGTGCTGCCCTCACCTGCTGGGGTGGCGTGGCTGCTTCCTGACGTGTCCGTCCATCCTGGGACATCCCCTTGGAGGTAGCATCACTCGAGTCCATCCTCAGCTTCGGCCTCCTTCCAAGAAGCCTTCAAAGAGCTTTCAGTCTGAAGCCCCAGCTGGAAACCTCAGCAGGCAGGCTGGACATGGGCACTAAGGCTGAGCAGGCAGCCTCTGAGTCCACGGCTCGGCTCTAGGTGGGCACCAGCTACAGAAAAAAACCCTTTAGGTCCAAGTCTAATACTGCAAGGACCAGGTTGCAGGCCAGGAATGCTCTACAATATTTTAGAGCTCCTCTAAACTACACAGCCTCCCAGGTGCGGCCGCACAGCGAGCTGGAGTTGGGCACAGCGGGTCCCAGAGCCCCCTTTCAGCCCCCGTAATGCCCCCACCAAGCACGAGCAACCCTAGCACAGCCCAGCCTGGATTGGGCTCCCTCTCTGCCTGCCTGCCCCGCCATGCACAGAGATTTGCTCTCAGATGGGATTTTGCCACCGTCCCAGCACATAACAGCGCTTCTTGTGCTCGGCAGCTGGCTCAGCTCCAGCCTCACCTCCGGGTTTGAGCCAGCACCAAAGCCCCGGGCACACCGAGAGCTTTTATAGGAGCACCCCAGCACAACCCCTTCCCCCAGCACCCCATAGTCACGGCCACAGCCCCACAGGGCTGCCCCAGGCCCCAAGGGACCCCCACCAGCCCAGACCCCGCTCACCGTCACCCTGCTGCCACCTCTGTTTGCAGCCGCCCGCTGTTCCCTGGGCAACGGCTGCAACGGCAGCAGCCAGAGACAGCCCAGAAAGTGCTGGGAGAGGTGGCTCATCCCCTTCTTGTCCCTTCCATGTCCTCTCTTTGTCCTCTTCTTGTCCCCACCAGCTGCCACAGAGAGGTGATGCCGACCCCCTTCCCGCAGCACGACCCCCCTGGTGCTCAGCCCCTCGCCCACAACTTGCTTACAAAGCACCAGCATTCGCCTGGGCTTTGGCTCTGGAAGGCCGGGGGATCCTGCTTTTAGGACCTTGCAGATCTGCATTTAACCGACCCAAAATGGCCCACAACAACTGTCTGAAAATAACAACTTCTGCACAAACAGAGAGATGCATCACTCAGTTTTATTGTTCTGGGAGAGTATTTTTAAGTTCAACTGGAGAAAAGATTACAAACAAAAACAATCACCCCAAAATCCCCTTGAAGAGTTCATACACCCTAAAACCAACTAGAGCAAATAATAATAATAAAAAAATCAAGTTAGGAGTACTTTTACAGAGTCATAACTGAACAAAATACTAAAAAGTAAGACAAAGTAGAATTATAACCCCCTATTCCTTAATTAACTTAAAAATAATTAGGCATTCCAAAAATTCTTTCATCGTATTTGGTAACTTCCAACAGCTGTTGTGATCTATTACTAGAGAGACAAGAAAGTGCCCCAGGACTTCTTAGTATATTTTAAGAAGATGTTCACTGAGGAATTTTAAGGGAAGGAAGAAGAGAAGGAATGCTCTGTTATCACCAAACAAGAGCATTTTATGCTCTTCAGAATCGGTATCGAGGGAAGCTTGGGTTTCTCTCTAGCCTCCCTCCAAAGCGATACAAGCAATAAGAGATGAGAGGCCACATCCTGCAACTCTACAAGCTGCTCCTCATAAATCAGCACAATTCTGAACTGTGGTAAGGCTTCGCTCCATCCTTTTCATACTCTGCCAGTCTGGCACCTAGATCACAGCCTCCAAAACACTATTTCAGCAAAAATGAAGATAACACGGGAATTTTTCAAACCAGGCCAGAGTCCAAAAAGCAGGCACAAGCTTCATCTTTATTGTTTCCTAAGCAGTGATCATCTTTGTGATCATCTTTGCAAGGGAATGATGTTGCAGCTGAAAAAGAAGAGCGTAGAAGGAAACGTTAAAGGCTCAGTTCTGAAAGAAGCTCGGAAGAACTGACACGGTTTAAATCAGGTCCACCACATCCCTCCTCCATTTGCTCCCCCTATCAGAGGAATTAGCCACTGAGATCTTCTGCCCTGCAGCTCACATTTGATAAAACTCGCCTCCCCACCAACAAAACACATCAGGGCAGGCAGCAACACACATGCAGTGAAGCACAGAGCTGGCCCTGCTGCAGGAAAGTTGCTCTGAGCTGGCTGAATGCCTCATCCACTCCGGTTAAATGAAATAAAAGCCTACCCCAGGAGGCCCTTCCCAGCCCAGCGCTTCGGAGTCAGCCCCAGGTGCACTTTCTTGCCATTGCGGATGACAGTCACACTCAGCGGTCTCTGGGAAGGGGGGAAAAATAAAAAAGGAAAGACAGAAAGAGTTGTCAACTTCCCATCACCAGGTCAACCCTCTTTTGTGTTCTTCTGCTGAAGCACCAGAAGAACATTACAAGGACTTCAGCAGTTCTCATTCCCACCACTTCAACTAGATTTGAAAGGAGGGAGCGTTTGGTGGACAGAAAGCTCCATGAGATCTCTCAGTTCCACTAAAAACCATCTGAAGGCTGTGATAGCTTCTCTTGCCAGTCCAGAGGGCCGTGCGGGTGGCATGGCAGCACAGCAAACTGCTGCAGGCAGTGCCCTGGGGTGGAGCAGGCAAAGTGAGGCTCACAGCAAAGAGCACACACCTCATTGCTCTGTTGTCCAGGCAGGAATGAGCTCAGTGCTGTGAGGAAACAGGGCTACAACAGTGCAGACTGAATCCAACACAGAGATCTGACTTCCACAAACAAGCTACAGGTAGCCAGCAGAGACAGGCAAGAGAACCGTTTCAGCAGAAACAAGCTCACCCCTTCGCTGTGCTGCACCACCGTGGCGATGTTCTGCAGGTTCTGGAAGTTGTGCACGTTGACGGAGCCGAACTCCACAATCTCATCATCGACCTGAAGCCCCTGGACAGAGAGAAGGAAGCTGAACATCTGCGTTCTCTGAAGAGAGGCAATGCCTTTAGGGCATGGAGCTACATCACACCACCTCCATGTTGTTAGAAACAAATAAATACCCATTCCTGTGCCCTGTTTTATGGGAGGAGAAACACTGATTCTAGAATGATCGCTGAGGCCTTGTGTGGTGCTATGGCACAGCTGAGACAACAGTTCTGGTTCAGCACAGTGACAAGTCGCTCCATGGGACACCCCGGTGACACTGCCACTGCCACACAGCTCCCCCCACAGGAGCTTTCAGGATGAACTATGCTGGTTAAGAAGGTGATTGAGCATTTGCTAAACACTTAGCATAAAAAAATGGGGGGTGGGATAATAAAAATTGGTGTCCCATGGGTTATTCCTGCTTGGTGATGAGAACAAGGAGCAAGCCACCTGCTCTGTTTCCCCTCGAGGTCTGAGCAAAGCCCTCCCCGTGGCTGTCAGACCCACGGACTCACCGAGACGCTCGCCGGTGACTCCGGTGTCACCGCGTTCACTCTGGCAAACGCCTGGGGCTGGGCCAGGCCCTGGCCCTGGCTCTGGCTCTGGCTCAGCGCCTCCGCCAACGCCTCCGCCTGGTCCTTGGCCTGCTTCTCCTTCTCGCGGGCGTGCAGCTGGTGCAGGGCCTCCTCCACCTGCTTCATCAGCGCCTTGTGGTCGTTCTGCAGGCCTGCGGGCGACACCGGGAGGCCCATGGGAGGGCTGTTCCTCAACACCTTCACCCCAAAACCGGGATCGGGCACAAGATGATGACAGCGGGGACACCCCGGGGCACCACCCACCCCACCCAGCCCTGAGAGCCACACACAGGGCACACGAAGGGGCAATGAAGGGGGTTTGGGGGGACCCGGGGGCACCTGGAAATCCCTTTTAAACCTCAATTCCCGTTAAACGCCCAGCACGAGCCCACCCCAGCGGGGCAGGGGGGGGCTATGGGGGACTATAGGGGACCAGGGGGGCTGACCCCACTCACAGGCGATGTTGTGCCGGGCCGCCCGCACCCGGTACACGTCGATATCAGCCCGGGGGAAGCCCTCGGCGTCCACCAGCGGCTCGTCGGGTCCCACGCCGCTCTGCGGGGGGACAGCGGGCGCTCAGGGGGGGGACACGGGGCTGTGGCAGCGAGCCCCAAGTCCCCCCCAAATCTCCCCCGGTACCCCCGGTCTCCCCCCGCCCTGCTCACGTCCCGCAGCAGCTCGTAGCACGCCCGGATCCTGGCCTCCAGCTCGTCCTTCTGCCGCACCAGCTGCAGCACCGCGCCCGCCGTCACCGCGCTGCCGGCCCCGGGCTGCGCCATGGCTGGGACGGGCCCCGGGACGCGGTGCGCAACGGGAGGGGCGGGGCCACGCGGGGAGCTCCGGCTTCGTGGGCGGGGCCACGGGGGTGGGCGTGGTCACAGAGTGGGTGGGGCTATGGGAGGGCGGGGTTAGCGCAGGGGGCGGGGTTTAGGGGCTGGTGGCGGGAAAGTGGGCGGGGCCTGAGAAAGGGGCGGGGCCAGGGCTGCGCGCCCGCGGGAAGGAGGCGGAGGGGACAGCGCCATGGGGTGACAGCGGGGTGGCACTGATGGGGTGGCACTGATGGGGGGTGGCAGCACAGTGACAGTGCCGTGGGGTGCCACGGCAGCAGCATTGCCACAGGGTGGTGCAGCGATGGCAGTGCCATGGGGGTGACACCGCGATGGCAGCTCCATTTGGTGACACAGCAGTGGCAGCGCCATAGGATGGCACGGTGGTGGCACCTCCATGTGGTGACACCGCGATGGCAGCACCATGGGGTGACACCGCAGTGATATCTACATGCAGTGACACAGCGATGGCAGTGCCACAGTGTCCCAGCAGTGGCAGTGCTTTGGGGTGACACAGCGGTGCCGCTGCCTTGGGGTGGTGCGGTGGTGGCCATGCCATAGGTGACACCACGATGCCATCGCTGTGAGGTGACCACCACCCACCACCACTGCTCCAGACCCACGCTGCTGCCACCAGCCACCGTGTCCCCGCTCCTGCCAGCCCTGCAGCACCGCCATCACCGTGGCTGAAGAAGCCACCGAGTGTCCCCTGCCCCTGCACCATGCGCGCACCCACGTCACCCTGGCTTGGCTGCAGCAGGGAGGTCACCAGGCGCAGGAGGGGACCCGTGGGACCCATG